TCTATGGAAACTCCATCCCCTGGGCCAAGCAAGTCCCTTATCTAGGGGTGATCCTCAGTAAGACACTCTCATGGAACCCACACATTACAGCTAGTATACAAAAGTTTCGAGCTCGTAAAGCTAGACTCTACCCCTTAATTGCTCGAAACAGTGTTTTATCTGTCGATAACAAACTGCTCATTTATAAAACCATTATGCGTCCATTACTCTGTTATGCATGCCCTGTCTGGGCTTATGCTTGCAATCGATATCGTGGAAAACTACAAATTGCTCAAAATATCATGCTTCGGCAGATTGTTAATGCTCCCTGGTACATCAGGAACAACCGTATTCATGAGGAACTTGGTGTATGTATGCTAAGGTCCTTTTATTATAAAATAGCAAAAAAATTCCACATGAAACAAAGTACCCTTACCAACCCTGCCATTAAGATTGCAACATATGACTTTAATGATCTGAATAACAAAGACAGGCCGCTGGCCTTACTAAATATTTGGATTATGTAACGGTGTACTAATTTATTTATCTCTCTTATTTATATTATACTGTTTTCTTTATATGGTGTACTTGTACTGTTTTTATACTTACCAGTAGCTTCAATGTTGTTTTACTGCTTATCTTTTCTTCGGCACCAAAATCTTCACACTTCTCTGTCCATGTATTAACACATTCCTTTCCAGGATTATTCACCAGCTCGACTGCTTTCTGGCCTTGTTTATTCTAAAAAAAAAAAAAAATGAGTTCAGGCTCAATTTAAAAAAAAAAGGGAAAAAAATATTAAAAAGAAAAAAAAAAAAAATTAAAAATAATAAAATATTATATAATAATAAAAAAAAAATAACGAAACAATCTAAAATTATAAAGTATTTATAAAAAAAAAAGTTCGATACTCTTTATTTTTGGCTAACTGTATTGTGAATCGAAACGTCTAATATGATCTACAAGGGGTAGTGCCTCTGGCACAGGCACCCTGGTGTCTCAAACACCGCTCCACTGGAAGGTCTCTCAACATCAGTTCCAGCCCCCGCGCCATGAAGGAAGGACGTCTCTTCAGCGAGCTGCCATATAATTGCTTTATCCATCATCAATACCTGCAATCAAGATCTTCTAGCAAAGTTATCAATCTGTTCGCATAGAATCACATCTCCCGCAGATTTTAAAATCTGCCTATGAATATTTTCATCGCGTTCCCCTTTTTATTATTTGCACTATCCTACACAAGCCACATGCCAATGAGCCTATTAATCGTAACTCTTTCCTATCCGCTTTTTGCTTTAGTGTTTGTATTGTGTATAAAAATTATAAAAACCAAAAAAATTTTAAAATATAAAATACAAAAAAAATATATAAAAACCTAAAAACTTATAAAAAAATTATTATACTCAAGTTTTTACTTTCTTATCTCTATCCCTAAGCTTTCTCGAGCCTGTGGCTCCCTCTATTGAGCATCAAGTAAATCACTTATGCCAAATTTTTCCTATTTCTGCTCACTTTTAGTAATTCTGATGTGGAGGTAAATGGTTTTGAACCATAGGCACTCCGAAATTTTCAAATCATTGGCATTGGCAGGGATTGTGATGTATCGTGCGAGGTCTTTTGACCACACTTTCGACTGTTGCATCGTAGTCACATAGACTTCTAATAGAAGCGTAAGAGGATGTTCTCAGACTTTCAAAGAAATTATGTGAAGTGATCAAAATTTGTTCATGCATAGCCTTCACTTTCAAATCGTCCTGAATTTGGGATTTCCTCAAATACAATCCACGATCGATCTCAGTACTTTATTCTAGATTACATCTAATTTTGCATGTTCGGTCTCATTGGCAGTTGCCCAAGCTGGAACGGCGTATAACATAATTGGTCTAATTAAAGATAGGTACGCGGTTCTTTTGATTTTAAGAGATAATTTTAATTTTGGGACTATCAGGTTGTAATGCGCGCAGAATGCAGCATCCGCTTTTTCAGCTACAGCTATCACAGGTATTTGAAGGTGAGTCTGCTGTCTGTTATTACACCTAAGTATTTATCAGAGTCTGCGATCGGAACTGTTTCGTTTTTAATTTTGATGTCTGTATTCACAATTACATTTTTCCTGTAGCGTCTAAATAACACAAGACAGCATTTACTTGAGTTTAAGTTGGTTTTCCAGTCCTCGCACCATTTAGTAACAATGTTGACTTTAAATTGAGGTTTTTCCATAGCGAGAGGTGAGTTGACACAATCTGTAAGTGCAACCGTGTCATCGGCGTATTTTAATATCTTAGCATCCAAGGGTTTGTCAGGTCGTTTATAAATATATTGAAAAGACAGGGAGCGAGAACTGCGCCTTGCGGAACACCGCTGTAAATTATCTTTCTCGAGAAGATTTTTACAATTTACTTTTACATTTCTACAATTTACTTGAAAAGTTCTGCGATTTAGATAAGAAATCGTTAATTGGATGAAGCTGATTGACAGCAAGAAGTTGCTAAGCTTATGAAATAGTCCTGCGTGCCACACTCGATCGAAAGCCTTTTTCGAAATCGAGGAAGCACGCAGCGACTGCTTCTTTTTTTGAAAATTATTTGCAATATATTCGACCAGATTTAAAACCAGATGCGTTGTCGAATGTCCACTTCTAAATCCAAATCAATGCGAGTTGTCAATTAGGTCTAATCTTTCTAGGTGTTTGTATGTCTGATTTTTAAGACTTTCTAAAACTTTTCCTATTATAACTATTCCTTTAGCAAACTTATTGGACGATAGCTGGTAATCAGTTTCGGGTCTTTACCCGGCTTTGGGAATGTAATTATGATGCTGTGCTTCCTTTGCATAGTGTCGGTGCGGCATGGCGGCGCTCTAAATATGCGGCAAGCCGAAAGTCCTTCCGTGTGGATTGGTGGGAGTGGAGATGGGTGGGAGACCTCTGGATACCCCCGGGGTGCTCTCCCTCAAAATTGGGGGTGGACAATAGAAGTCCAACCTCTCTTCGGAGTATGCTCTAGCAACCATTGTTCCATGTAATATGGGCACGAGAACAGCAAGAGAAAACCTTGCGACTTCTGACACAGGCGTGAATAATTACATCACAGAAGAAGGGTAAAACAAACCCTTTATTATTCGTCAAACCCTTAACACAAATGCCCGTACTTCATGCTCACAATAACATCGACGACTTGAGCTGGAATTTAAGAAGAATGTAATAATAAATTCAAAGATGATTAGTAGTTCTGGACTAACAATTTAGTTTAAGGGCTAACTAGACTGACTCAACAACTTACCCGGCGAGTGACTTATTAAATGGCGAAAAGGCGTATCAGCAGCTCAGCGTAACCAGCAGCAAAGACAAACCAGTAATGTGCGCTGGCTAAATCAAGCTCTGAATAAACTTCAAGTTTCGTATGCTGTTACATTTTCTCTTTACTTAACTTTAAATTTGCATCCTGGTGAGGAAATGCGAGAGGAAAATGAGAGGTCCAGTTAAGGTACCAAATTAAAAATAATTTCTACGCAAACTAAGGGAAAGTGACAGTTTTGGCTTTAAAGTTTCTCGCTGATGTACTTTCATTAGTTAAAAACAAAACCTTCAGTAATTTTACGGCCAAAAATATAAGATTTATATTTATATTCGTCAAAGATTCAGCTGATTACCTAATTGATCGCGATCAGGATATCTTCTTAAAGGAAGATAAATTTGCTCGTCTGGGGATGGTTAGTTGGTTGTTTGCTTCAAACAAAGCAAACGAGAAGAGATGTTTTTAGTAGAAATAAAGAAAACAACGAAAAGTATATAAGGTATTTCTCCCGCCTTCGTGGTGTAGTGATCAGCGCACTCGGCGCGTATTCGAGAGGTCCGTACTTCGAGTCCCGGCAAGGGCATTGCTCATTTTTCATCTTTCCTGCTTCGAAATAACATAATATCTTTGTAAGTATATTCAGCTAGTTCTTTGGTCAGGGACCGAATCCGGAACAGATACCAATCTTTAGCTGTAATATTCATTTGGTCAGCGACGGTCGCAGTTACAATTAACATCAAATGGAATTTTACCTAAAAGGGATTGGATTATTTTATGATGGCAAAGATCATTAGGGCTAGCTGCCTATGGGTAGAGGTACTATTGGAACACAGTCTAAAGGAAATTAACTATTTTTACTTTACTCACGAATTTCATGTAGGCGGACTGTTCAATTTCTGAGAATGGAATTCGAGGAAAGATTTATTCGTTTGCAGCTTTATTCATTTGACCATTGTGGGCTATTTACCGATCAAGGTATCGTTAATGGCCTAAAGAACAACTTTGTATTGTATTTGCTGCTCGAATTTATTGTAAATGTCGATAGTTTGAGTCGGTAAAAGTCATAGAAAATAATATTCTCTAATCAATAAACTTGTTGTCGAATATGTACGCAAATTTTTCACATAAAGGTTTGGAAATTTCTTATGAACTCCTAATGAGTATTTTGTTCATAAAACGTTTTCCTCTAGAAGAATTCTTTAAAAAGTTAGATTTTATATTTATAAAACCCTCTATTTCACAGAGTTGTATATATTTTTTATAAAGTTCCCTCTCATATTTCAAAAAGGTTTCTTATTAATAAGGAGTGTCTGGATCAGTATTTAACCACATTTCTCAAAGGCATTTTTATACTTAGCATAAAAGAGGCAGATCAAACAAATTTCAATTTGATCGCTGTACGTCTTGAAACAAAGCTGTACCTCCTTTTGATAGCTGTACAGCTGTTTAAGACTTGAATAATGAGATTACATTATTCGCTTAAATTTTGCTACGTGGTAATTGACAGGCCGTTTTGAATACGTTATTTTCTTCGTTTTTGCAGAATTATGAATAACTAATAGATGATTCATTTACAAAAAAATAAGGAAAGTTAATGTTTCTGAACAGGTGGAAGCTGATAGGAAAAGTGTTCTAAATAATGAGGGACACTTGTTCTATTTAGGGAAACTTAAATGATCAGCATTTACTGGAAATAAAAGCTGTAAGCAAACTGATAAAATTTATCCAGTGCGATCAGCTAGCGTTTTGAAGGGTTGTTTATTTGACTTTAGGGAGATAACCTAAATTTTATCTAAACTTTTAGGCATATATAAGAAAGTGAAATTTCAGAGGTGAGAAAAAGCTGTTCAAGATGGTTCCTGCGACTACAGTTTTATGCTCTGTTCTGCTCCTGTTGCCACTTTCAGGTAATAAATTTTTATTTTAGTTTCATCTGCTGCGATTTATTATAACTTTCATTGAATTGCTGAGAAGGCTTTTCAAAAATCTTCCTAAACTTATAAACATTTCATTTAAATAATTTTATCGGAAGAGCATTAAATTTTTAAGTGTTTTATCCTGCCGCTCTTTTAGTTAAATAATTTTCTCTTTACAGGCGTACTAATAATACCAATACTTTTACAATAATGCTTTTATAATAATTCCAATACTTTTACAATAATAATTTATTATTAATTTTAATATTTTGCAGTAACGTTTTACAATACTATTAATACTTTTACAATAATGATTTTATAATAATATCAATATATTTTACAGTAACTTTTTACAATAATGTCCAAACATCTAAGATAATTTTTTATAATAGTACCAATAATAATAATTCGCTATACACGTGAATATTAATGCCTTTTTAATAGTTTTCCTACAATTCATTTTAGCAATTTTCATCATTTTATGGCTTTCCAATTCTAAATAGGAACTGTACCTGATTTTGCGTACGCTATAATTTTCAGTATCACCTGTCTACTTATTTTCGCATGAAAGACTTCAACAGAAATTGGTTATTTTGTTCCTTTATATTAAGAAAAATTGAGCCCACCAGCAGCAGAGAAGTAAAGTCGCTGAACACTGGTAGTTCGGTCCGAGGCTCGAATCCCGCGAACGGACTGGCTGCATGGGCGTTTTTGTGGTTTTTCCCGTGTGTAACGTGTATACGAGCCAGTTTCCCTTAGAAAGTCCTCCACGAAGGCATCCCTCCTCTTAGGCAGATACCCCTCGAGGCTTTACCGTAATTAAATAACCTAACCTATTAATAAAAATTAAGAAATTATTATCGAGATAAACAATATTGTTATTGATAGGAAAAATAACCATATTTATTACATTGTCAAGAATTCTGATGTCATTATTTTAAACATTTTTTGTCATCTATCTTTTCCACTCCTAAAGTGATACATTTCCATGTTTGTTATTAATGTTTGAAGAGCATTATTTCTAATAATATTAAGTTATACGTAATTTATTGATTTGTTAATTTGAAATTATTATTCATGTTATAAAATTTAATATTCATTTTATTTTCCTGTACCTTTAAGCATGTTTGCCAATCAAAAATGCACTTTAAAGGAAATTTTGAGTCTTTTGTAATTTCCAAATAAATTGACCTTTATTACCATTCGTTCAGTACTAATTTTTGATAGCTACAATATTAGCAGAAGGAGACACAAAATTATGTTTCAGATAATTATAATAATAATAACAAAATTTTTGTTCGAAATCTCTACATTATTTTTATATTATTCATTGCTATTTTTGTAATATATAATCTAATTTTTACCTTAGATAATGAATATTTAGATTAATCTACTAAAATTACAAAACTTTTGTTGCAAATAGATACATAATATAGGTTAAAAAAGGATTAAATTCATTCAGCTCACTAGTAAAAGATCGTTGACAAATACATCTATATAAAATGATTTAAAAATATATATTTAATTCGTTATGGACAAGAAGACCAATAACTAAATTGTTTTTAAGCCTATCATATGAACGTTTTTCTATAATCGCAAGAAGAATTTTTATGTTCATATTTGAGTATATAAAAAGAAATTATTTTATAAGTAATTAACATTTATAAGTATTTGACTTTCTGTCTTAAATAATGTACTAATAATAAAACCTTTTACATTAAAAGGCTTGCATAAAAAGTTTTTAAATAATGTTTTAAGTCATAAAAGATTTTAAAATGTTAGTTTCCGAAAGGCAAAAATCAACAGTTTCGCCGAGAGAAATGTTGAAGCAAATATATACTCAGTTTCTTATTTTTTGGATTTTAAGAACATTTCATGCTGCTAAATTTACTTTACTAAATATTTAAAATGCCAAAAGTAGATTTTTTAATTTCCTTGATGACTTTTAAAGAGAATATTAAATTGAAATATTATTTTTGCGCTTTTCATAAGCATCTAAATTAATTATTTATAAAGGTCGTAAATAAAAAAATAAAAGATAATGGTAACTGTGTTTCCTAAAAAAAAATTATTGTTGTCGTTGTCTCTAATTCTCTTGATTTGAGTTTGCGAGTAGATCAAGGGACTTACAGACAACGACAACAATAATGATTTGAGTCTGCGAGCAGATCAAATCTATGAATAGTACACTGGTCAAAAGACAAGGATTGAGCCTGTCGTTGGGTTATCTATATCTTCAAGAAGAATCCTCCGGGCGTATGGATTCGAGTACCTGCCACCTTTCTTCTCTTATCACCAACATCTCCAGATGATTTTAAGCTCCCAGTATGTTAAGTGCACCCATCCTGGAAAGATATTGCACACGTTCAAACATCCATGCCATCTTCGGGATTCGGTGCGGAGCCCAAGGTATGACAACCGGCTCTCTCATGCCAGTTAATAGGGTAGCAGATAATACGTACTGGCTTTGTAAAAAAAAAAATGAAATTTGATGTACGAAGTGTAATCTATCATTTTTATGGATAAATTAAAAAAATCCACTGAGAGATGAATGCAATATTTTTATAGGATTTCTCTTCGTGTTTAGCAGGATTCAAGGCCAGCGCCATAGTCGGCCTAACGGCTACAGCCACAGTAGGCGACACAATCTAGTAAATTAAACATAATTTAAAAAAAATCTGAGAGCTTTCAGATTTTACATTACGTCCATAAGGTCCTTTTTTAACATTTTCTGTGTTAACTTTATTTATTAAATATCATGTTCTTCGCGTTTAATCCATAAAATTCAATTTAACAGCAATATCGCAAAATGATTTTAAAATGAGCATATCTTTAGAATTTCCGATACACAGTCTCGCGCGCTGGAGATAAAAATGTTTTTCCCCGTACAGTGTTGCCGTTGCTTGCTTCGAAATCGTCGAGTTTCTTAATAAAACTCATAAATACTTTACAGAATATGAAATAGATAACAAAACAGATTCCAAATTTGGGCTTCCAGATGCCTGTATTCGGAGGAGGATTACATTATTCAAAATCTGATGGCTCTAGGTACCGTTGTTCTTCTATCACGCTGCGAGAAACATACATACATTTATGCAGATTGTCATTATTTAATTTCTGTAAATATACCACAGGGCGATAATATTTGGTGGCAACAGTTTGAAAAGTGAAACAACGCAGAAAGTGAATCGACGCAAAATGCCAAAACGAAATTAATAGCCCTTTTGAGCTAACACTCCTTCGGCTTAATAATAAACAACAATAAAGGTGATAGCAATTAGAAATTAAGGACGGATGAGTGACATGAAATCTAAAACAGGCCTTCCCAAGAACCTGATAATGAATATCAACCTATTTTTGTCAGAAACGTTTTCTAGAGAACATTGTCGATACTTAACCGAATGCGTTATGTTAATATGCATATATCAGAGTTTAGAGCATGTGCATTGCATAAGTGTACATGTATCAGTATTTAACGCATGCACATCGCATAAGTGTCTATCTAAATAAAAAAAATCTAACATCAGGAGTGACAGTTTGATATCAAATAAAGTATTCAAAAGATTTTTCTCTTTAAAATATAAAGTTTTGTTTTAATACTACCAGTTTCTGTGAAAGATTACTAAAATTGTTTGTAAATATAAAAATTTTGCTGTTGTTTGCAAATGAAAATATTGTTTATTTCCTTCCTAATAGTAAATACCTTAGAATATGCTCAGTATGTATGTTATGCTCATATGAATAAGTAATTTATTTTACGAAATTTAATACACCTGTAGATAACACAGGAATTTAAAAATTAAAATTGAAATCTATTTTTAAAGCATTTATTTTACATTCTTAGGGTAAGTAAGCAGTTACTGACACGCTACTTAGTTAACTAAAATCCCATTTTTTTTTCAGCTCTAGGAATTTTATGTACGAAATAAACTAAACGAAATGCCATCAAGCAGGAAAGTATACACGCAATTTTTCTTAATAAATGTCAAATTCGAAATGCAGCTTTGCTGTATAGTGCAGCTTCTACATCAGTGGGTTCATCAGCTCTTTATTTTATTTTTCAAAATAAAAGTGTAATAACTTTTATTTTGAAAAATAAAATAAAAGTGTAATAACTTTTATTTTGAAAAATAAAATAAAAAATGAAACAGAAAAGTTACTATCAAAACGGAAAAGATTCGGTGCAGTTTGACTACTTTTTATTTGCTCTTTGAGCCAAATTCCACAAGTAGTAAATATGTAGAAATGTATGACGGGTACTACCCTACATAACCGTCATACACTTGCATTTCTAAAAAATTGTTCTTTCCAAAATTTAAAAATAATAATAATAATCTGAAAGGTTTCAGGTTATAACGGTCGTCCGAAAGAGCTTGTTAAGATTTCACACACTCTCGCTGAGTTCGCTGTCTACCAACACAGACACATTTGCAACTAATATAAAGTTACGCATATAACCGAATAATTTATAGTTGTTTATATTAGATCACATATTCTTGAATGTAATAATATATATCCTTTGTTTTACTTTAGAATGTCTACCAAGAATTCTTGTTGGGTTATCTAGTTGTCCCGCAGAAGCAAAAGAACCATGGAGTTACGGTGGAAAAAATGGTAAGTGTATAAAGGGAGAGATATTCTTTGATTGGAAGCTGATGAACGGAAAGCTGAAAGACTTCTGAAGTTTGGAGGTATATTTAAAAACTATTGTAAATTATTAGACTTATTTTGTGGCATGCCTAGGTGAGTTTTTAAAAGTATCGTGTAGAAACATACTAAGTGATATACTAAGAATAAACATGCTAAGCTGGTAACCCAAGGTGACAAACTTTATTTTATTGGCAAAAAATGCTTAAAATGTCCCAGAAAAATAAATAAAATAAAATAGTAAATAAACTTAATAAAACTATGTTGCAATCTGAAAATTTATGATTATATTTCTAACTTCGAAGAAAATTTTGTATTAATTTATTTTAAATATAAAAAATTCAAAATTAATTCACATTTATATCCAAGTAAAAATAATACTTGCTATTATCGACTCACAAAAGTAAATCTGTAATATAGCACAAAATAAAAAAGAATTTCAATTTTAAGAACTTCAACATTTGCTCCTAATTACTTTTCTAAAAGCAAAAAGCAACGTACACAGAAAAATGTTGAAATAACGTATGTAATTGTTTGAAAAAAATTTAAAGAGAGTACATTGTAAGGATCCTAAGTTTTACTAACATTTATTTTATTTTAAAACTGTACTATCACTTCTTATTTTCTACTTCCGGCCAGAATTAAATGCTTTAACTTGTTTATGCAAATTGTCTTGCTAACGCCCAAGTATTTAAGTTGTGGTTTATGCCAAGAGGGAGAGAGAAGCAGATTTAGGAAGTAAGCCGCTTGCCACTGCAGTTCTACGAGTTTTCACTCAGTTGCTGGTTGCCTTTAGAGGTTTATCCCTCTTGATATTTGAAAACGCATCGTAGTTTCAGCAGCTCGGCGTACTACATACGTACCCTTTTAAATAAAGGCCAGTCTTAGTGCTAGGCATTTGTATACTAATTCAAAGTTAGCTTTTAGTTAGAGTTTTAGTTAGAAGTTTTAGATTCTTACGTTCAGACCACAACTGGTTGGTCTCTGTATCCCGAAGTTCGGGAATACCTGTAAAGTATTGAAAATAAAGGGTTTCGTAGACCCTTCCTGCATGTGTTGTCTACTCCACACATTGTTGAACATAGCATGAGTAAGCTCCCTGTTCCTGTTCAGGACACATCGTGTTTCCAAAGCAAATCAAGGGAAACACAAGTACTGACAACATATGTAAAGAAATCTATCGAACATTAATGAAACAAAACACAATTTAATATTATTTACTCAAAATATACACATATGTATGTAAAAATGGAATAAATACAAAATAAAAACTTGCGCGCTGATAGCAGCACGAGCGGTGGTAATAAAGCAAAAGAAAAGAAAAGTAAAGAATGCGTTTAAAATTCATCCCATATTAAATTCGGAATAAACCGCATGCAAAAACTAAACAGCAGACGCAAAGGAGTAAACTGCAAGAAATGGGAGGGAGCAAAATATGGCAAAAGCAATAATTAAAATTAAAGTTACATCTTTCGTTGCACCGTAATTAGAAGGGGTTGGTGCAACGAAAAAAGTAAATAAATTAAACAGCTTGTATCTAAACACACAAAGAAGCAAATTAAAGTTTAAAATTTAAAAAGTTATCTTAGAAAAACTATCAAAATAATCAGTGTTTTTTCTCAGTACAGTCCCTACAGGCAGAAGCAAGCAGTGCCAAAAATGCAAAATTATAGCATCAAAAACATAGACAAATTTTTAAAAAATGCGAAATAATAGACAAATTAAATATATGTATATTTATTTCAAGTGGATCTAGTCAACTGTAAACAGAAGTAATCCAAGAAATGAAAAAAATAAGAGAAATAAATGAAAATTTGATTAAAAAATATAAAATAAAAAACAAAAAAAGAGGACTTAGTTCTTAAAATTTGTATCATAAAATATTTTATATATATATATATATATAAAGCAGGGTGCTTATGAAGTTTTTCAGTAACAACAATCAAACCATCAGTAACAACTTAAAAAAAGTTACTGATTAAAACAAAAGTACAAAATGTTAGCAAATTTAGACAGTAATTTTTGGGGAAAGGAAATTCCACTCATCATCTATCTTACAAATTCATTAGTAATAAAGAAAAATATTAGCTGCACACATTGGCAAATTAGCAAAATAAATCAAATTGGTATTAGTTAAAATAAAACTGTAAAGACCATAAGTTATTTTATTTCGAAGCAATAGATGTGTAATATGCGCAACTCTCTTATCGAAATCCCAAACGCTAGCCTAATATGCTTTCCAGTAACTCTACGAAGGCACATGACAAGGAAGGCCTTACGAAAGCAACATTTCTATATTAGGTACGTAATATGTGGCAATGCAAAAATCTTTTGATAGTGCTTTAGAAACAATGCTAACAATGTTCCAGTAGTTATTACTGGTCCTTTGGTAATAGTGACTTACAAAATAACGGCGATCACAGTAAATTGTTAATAAATGTCTTTGCATTTTTTAAATCCCCAGTAACTAGGCAATTACAGTTTGATTATATTTGAAGAATAATTTGAACATCTTATGTTCACTCAGCTGCAACACTTGCCAAATCGCATGAATATTATTAAACATACAGCAACGTTTTTAAACCCTCCAGAATAACTGAAAAAAACTAAGGAATTTTTACTTCCTTGTAAGAAGTCAAGGAAGCATTGCAATTATGAAAAATTTAAGTTATCATATTTGAACGGAAATATCCATTCGGACAATTTTTTGGGTGCGAAATTTGTACGTACGGATGTGGCATTGATAATCACCCTTTAAAATTAATTAATCAAGCCCATTTTGATGTAATCTGTAGTTTTTGCAATCATCGTACGTATTTACGTATATATTTCTCGCAGAACTCAAATATTACTAGTCGTAGAACATGGCAATTTTAGGTAATTTTTGTTTCGCCGGCGCAAATCTCGCCAAGCAGACTTTATTGGCGAAAACATACCGTATACAAGTATACACATAAAAAATTTTAACAAATGTTAGTTCTAAGAATTTTTTATTTTGAAGGCATAAACATTTTAATATCGTTTAAAATTTTGTAAAAAAGCCAATAACTAAAGACAATAAATTTGCAAAAAGATTTTAATTTAAGAATTTACTATGCTTTCATGATTCAACACCCTGATGGGCTGGTTCATATCAGGTGACCCAAAGTGCTCTCATCTCACGTAAACTACGCTACAAAAATCTAATTCTCTCAGTAATTATCTACATTAATTTCAAGTTAAATCTTAATTTGGAATACAAGTTTAAATGCAGGAATTATTTCAATTCGTACGAATATCTTACTAACCGCAGTGCTGTATTTCGCTAGTGCATTCTCATCATAATTGATGAATTTAACCCTTGACTTTACCTTTTCTATAATTTCGCCTTCAGGTGAGTGGTGTGATTGCATCTTAATCGACTTAATTACCGCGAATGGCCTCAGGGCATAAAATTGAACTATCTGGGTAAAAATTCTATGTAATTGTACGGCAGTATTTAAAGAAACAATCTGATAAGAAATGGCTGCGACTTGTTTTGAAGATGAGGCGTAAAAGGTTACCTGCGAAGATATTCCGTTTGGCATCAGTTTTACCATTATTTCCGACTTTATCGCCTGCGCCGGCAAAACAGAAAAGTAAACAATTTTGTATAAGGAAATATTGTAGCATTTATTTGTGCAGGTTCCTTTCTAACCCCCTTACCGGCTTAAAAGTCCTTAAAAGGAATCGTTGGTCGCAGTCTACCCCCTTACCGGCTTAAAAGTCCTTAAAAAGAAATCGTTGGTCGCAGTCTAATACTTCCAATTCCATAAGTGTTTTAAGTCATGCAAATAATCATGTTTTCTTATGATTATCTGTCAAATTAAAAGAAAAAATAATTTTCGTCAAACAGCGAAATCTAACTTTTAATGCGATCTCCCTTTTCCTGTACTCATACTTGGGAAAGTTTTATACTCGTTATTGAAAAAACAAAATTTTAAGAGGTTTGGCTCCAATACCAGAAAATCGAACGGGATATTTAAAGGATTTCAAAATTTGCAGTTTTTTGTGTCATTTTCCATTTTCGGATGTGATTGGTTAATTAACTCAGAATAAACCGAGTAAATAAGATTGAATGGAGTTAAAAAACGTCTGTAATTTAACAGGCGGCACAGGAAAGCAATGTGGTGTACACATCAGATTTTTTTTTTCTCTGCAATGATTTATCTAACGACTTTTACTACAAATATTGTTTTCAAAATCGGTATCTTTTCCCTAGAGCGAAATGTACTTTTTTAGAAATGATTATAGTCATTCTTTTTTAATTTGTAGGTCCATCATTTTGGGGAGAGAAATATCCTATTTGTTATGGTAGGAAGCAATCTCCTGTTGCTATATACAGCGAAAGTGCTGTACCCGATGAGACCCTGAAAAAGCTTGCTTTGGAAAACTATAATGTTCCCGTGACTTCGGCTAAAGTAGAAAATAATGGGCATACAGGTAACCATTTCATTTAATGAAAATGTTCTTGGAAACAACGGCCTAATAAACCTTGCATTCTGACTTCTCATATAATTACCGATTTATATAAATTATTCATTCCAGAATGTTTTCATATTTGTTTACAATAATAGCACCTGTGACATTCATCGCTTTCTGTAAATGATTATTGAGTGTAAAAAATAATAATTAAACTGAAGCACAACGTTTAACTCTTTCGCATCGATAGAAGCCAAAACCGGTTCCTCTCAAACATCTGAAACGCACGTGTATAGTAATTTCTCTCGAAAAGGACTTCTTTTTACCGCTGCCACGTAGAATGCAACGGCGTTAACACGTTGAACGCGGCGCCGGTCTCTATGGACCGGCAGTGAATTTTCCGTGTGGCCGGCGTCGGTCCCTGGGGACCGGCACTGGAATTTTCGTTTCACCGGCGTCGGTCCGCGGGACCGACAGTATTAAAGTTAAAAAATAAATATAGTCTCAATGAAATGTGATCAAATTTAGTTTTAATAAAATGTATTGAAACATTATAAACAAAAATACGGCTTAGCTTGCTGCTGGCTGAACGGAAAGAACAGCAAATTCGGCGCCCCGCTCAACGTGTTAACAACAACCTACTTAAGTGAAGTGATTACTTCTCTTTTGGGGCTCTTTCTGCGGTTTCACCCACTGCATGCAGTTTCCCCTTAGGACAGGCTTGCAACTGCGACCATCAGTAGCTGAACGTTGATGCTAAATAAAGGAGATAGAAGGTGCAATCAACTAAGAAAACTTCTTTAGTCACTTCAAAAGAATGATAGGAGAGTCATTTAACAACTCCTTTTGATAACAACACCTGAAACCGTGCACTAGTGTGATGGGGGAAAACACCAGATAGAAACTGGACACAGGTGTTCGGGGGACCTGCCAATGTCTGAATGCACAGACGATACGGGAGACTTCGCTAGAGTTAAATTTATAAAATTAAATAAATTTGTAACATTTATTTCTTAAATGTTTAAAAAAATCATCTGGCGATATGTCTGGAGAATATGGCATGTGATTTATCATTGGAACTGGATACTTAGCAAGATATTGTTGTACAGACAATATTGTATGAGGCATTATCGGGTAACAGAAGTCATTTCTCAGAATTTGAAAGTTGCTTCCTAATTCGCATTATCCTATTTCTTAATTAAAAAATACCTCCTTGTAAAAATGCTGAGTTAGGGATTGATTTTCAGCGGGAAATTCTAGTAGCCAACGCCGTTAAACGCTATACTCATCATGGCAGTAACTTACACATCTAACGAAACAGTATAGGAATCGGAGAATTACACTAAGCAAGTATGCATGAAATTATGTACACTTAAATTTGTGGTCCATTAATGAAAGAAAAATTCTATGAAAAATTATAATTTCATGTATCCAACATAAAGCATTTATGACGTTGTTTGCGTATCCTTTCAAATTTCAAGTCCTTTTTTCGAAATGTGATTCTTTTTAATCATTTTGTCTTTCCAAACTTCAGTGCAACTAACACCGACGGATAACAAAGATCGCATAATAAATATAGGAGGCACAACATACAGATTAGCACAGCTACACTTCCACTGGGGAGACGTATATTATCGAGGATCAGAACATACTTTGGATGGTGTACAGTATGCGATGGAGGTACGCATATTCTGCTTCTAATATTTTGTTTGCCACAAATAAATTTCAATTCGCATAATTTTAAAAATGATTTGCATGGTTTTTATTAAATTAAGTAAATTAAATTATGAAACCTGTATCTAAAAATTTTATTGAATCTCGTAAAAGTTATCCATTTAGGATAAAGCTTGAACGAAAATACAAAGACCGAAAGAATAAAAATAAAATTTTGTTTTAGTTATTTACGTAGTTTGAGTTTTCTTAATTTTAAATATATTTTAATAACTTAAAAGTATCCTTAATTACAGTCCTTTGACTCTTTTCTAGATAAAGTTATTTGCATAAAAATAAAAACAACTTTGAAAAATTTACATTCTTTGTAAAGAGAATTGAGTAACCGTTAATATTACAAAATTCTAATATGCATGTCCAGTTTATCGAAATAACAAAAACATCCTTTTATTATAACTGAAGATATTTATTTCATTATCTGTACATGCAAAGGAGAACGTCTGTTTGTTTGTCCTCTAATAACTCAACCACTACTATAGATATCGTCACCAAACTTTCTACAATTATTTTCTGGATACAGGAAAAGGTTGACGTCCACTTTTTTCCAAAAAAAAGTAACTAAAATCTATTAATTAGAAACTCGGAAAAACAACAATTTTCGCCGTCACTTTTCCAAGAGGCAACAGTCTCTCAAGCTGGAGATGAAAATCTGCTTTATTTCGAAAGTTGTTGCCAATGCTCGCTTTCAAATCCTACAGTTTGTTACTAAAAAATTTCCAAGTTTCACGATGAAATAAAAATAGCATTGCCAAACAATTATTCGCAATTCCAAAAATTCGGGGAAATCCATTTCGACTATTCCCATCTTCGTCCGACTTTAATCAGCCGAAATATTAATTTAAAACTCTGAAAGCGCTAATTTTCGCACTCATTTTTCCGAGTGGCAACAGTCTCGCGCGTTGGAGATAAGAATGCTTTATTTTGAAAAGTGTTGCTATTACTCGCTTTCAAATCGTAGATTTTGTTAATCAAAATTTTGTAAGTTTTACAAAATCTATAATAACATTCTTAGACAAAAAAAAAAAAAAAAAAAAAAAAACGACGAGCCAGGAAGGAGTTATCTGAATGGGACCGAAAATCGGTAGAAGTGATGTACATGTACATAAAAACAAATGATTACAGTTTGAGAAAAATTGGATGATTTATTGAAGTAATAGAGCTTCACAAAGTGAAAAAGTCAGAAACGCGTTCGTCCACTTCTGGCCCTTATGCAAGCAGTTATTCGGCTTGGCATCGATTGATAGAGGTTGCGGATGTCCTTCTGAGAGATATCGTGCCAAATTCTGTCCAACTGGCGCGTTAGATCGTCAACATCCCGAGCTGGTTGGAGGGCCATGCCCATAATGCTTCAAACGTGCTCAATAGGAGAGAGAGCCGGCCACTTTGCTAGCTAAGGTAATGTTCGGTAAGCACTAAGGCAAGTAGTAGAAACACGTGCAGTGTGGGGGCGGGCATTATCTTGCTGAAATGTAAGCCCAGGATGGCGGGACAGGAAGGGCAACACAACGGGCCTTAGAACGTCCCGCTGTGCTGTAAGGTTGCGACGGATGACATCCCAAAGGGGTCCTGCTGTGAAATGAAATGGCACCCCAGACCATCACTCCTGGTTGTCGGCCTGTCTGCCGGAAGGTATCGCACCGCTGTCCGGGGCGTCTCCAGACTCGCCTTCGCTGGTCATCGCGGCTCAGTTCAAAGCGGGACTCACCATTGAAGACTATCCTACTCCAGTCAGTGACATTCCAGTGCGAATGAGCCCGACCCCACTGCAAACGGGTTTGACGTTGTACAGGGGTCGACCTCAGCTCCCTTTCTGTGAGCCGTCTATGAATGGTCCTTGCGGTAACTGAAGCACTAGTTGCACGTACAGTCGATGATAATAATGCATCTGGGGCTGTAAGTGACGCTCTGACGATTGCTCGGTCTTCAATTTCTATCGTTTCTCTAGGCCTACCGCTTCCTTCTTAACGCTGTGTGCGGCCATGGTTCACCCATTCCTGCCAACATCGTCTAATAGTGGCATCGCTCCTGCTCAAATGTCGAGCTATTTGTCGATAAGACCAACAGGCTTCTTTCAGCCTGACTACACGACCTCTCTCAAATTCTGACATTCGTGCATATCGTTCGCGCACCTGTATGCGAGGCATTGTTACTGTCTACCAGAGTACACGGAATGAAATTCGTGAAGAATTTTATGACCTGGAATCGTAATTTCTCCTCTTAAATATCTTGCCAGTTGCGCAGATCAGATGCGCTGTAGTGACAACCGTTCATTCATTGGCAGCCAAAATGTAAAATTTTGCATTTTCCGTCGAAACTTGTATGCATATCAATTTGTGTCCAATTTGCTTTATATCTTCTCGGTGCGTCGTGTCTTTTTTTTTTTTTTTTTTTTTTTTTTTCTATCTCTCTGTCTAAGAGTGTATAAAGAAGAATGTCTGTTTGTGTGTTTGCTTGTTCGAGTTATTGATTTCTGATCAATTATGATACATTTTTTGGCTTAAAATTAGGTTAAAATGGTTAGATGCATTACTCTCAATCTAACTTAACTGACATCGGGCACTTCCGCTAGTGCCATATATAAGTATAAACTAAAAATGTAGGTGTAATTTAGTAAAACTTTTTAATTAAGCCCCAATACAGAATTACTAATATAAATTATGATATTTGTATTATGTAATAAACCATTTCTTTCCATGAAAGACTGGGATATTTTCATGAAAACTGAAAACTGAATTTTCAAGCTGAATTTAATTCAATCTGATGTAACTTGCACTCTTATTCACAGATGCATTTAGTCCACATGAGTCAAGACGAGGAAATTGCGGTTGTTGGAGTCTTCCTTAAAGTAAGATATTTTTGTTTTATTTCTTCGTCTTTATAAACCTCTTATGCATTTTTCAATGTAATTGAATGAAATTTAATGACTGTAAGAAATATTTCAATCTTTAGCTGTCCTATTGAACTTTTCAGTCAATGCAGTTGCTCTTTTATAATAACGCCTTGATAATTTTTCTTGATAGTATTTAAATGAGTTCTAGGATTCGTAGAGATTTCTTTAGCAATTACAGATGAACAGGAAAAAATCAACACTTAATTTAAAGAAATCACAGCTCATACAATACTTTAAACGGCTATAAATGTCTCAAGGAGAACATCGCATGCAAGGTGAATTCTCCTTATCACGCCAGAAATATTACAGGCCCTTAAAGTCACTCACAAAGCAAAGGAGCAACCAGTAAGCAGAAGTCTAATACAACCGCTAATTTCCAAACGGGATAACTGAAGAGACTCAGAATTCCAAGGTAGCCGTAATATATGTAGCACAAGGTGTCACAGTCACTTCGTGAAACTTATAGAAAAGTCGCTTCTAAGATTTCAAAAATGTGTTTTCTAGAAGCTTCCAAAATATCGCCAAGTTGGCGAAACGTCACAAAATTTCTTCAGTTTGGTATTAAAAATTGTCACCATGTAGGATTTCTGCCTGTAACTATTCTAATTTATCTATATTAGTTATTCAAATGATCGGATTAAAATAACAATATCTACGATATTTCAAAGCATAAGGCATGGCCATAAATTTGATTAAACAATAATATACTGTAGAGACATTAAGTATTTTTTAAAGTAGGAGAGATGAAAAATGAGCAACGCCATCGCCGGGGCTCGAACCACGGACTTCTCGAATACGCGCCGAGTGTGCTGCTCACTACACCACAAAAGCAGGCTAAGAAGGCGGGAGAAATACCTTATAACACAATAAAATTATTACAAATATGCAGCAAATAAGCATATATATAACTAAAAGCGGTATGTATAACACCATAAAAATACATAAATATCATCGTACACCCAAACAGAGACAAAGTTTAATATAAGCTTATGGAAATACTTTTCTAAGATTTAAAATAAATTTTGATATAAAGTGTGGTGATTCCTTTGTTATTTTGATCCCAAAGGTATTGCCAGCAGACAGAACTCCTAATGATCATAAAATAAAACATACAATAAAATGAAACTTTTCTAAAATAGCATACTGTATTCTTTATTAATAGGAAGATATGAACGACAATGAAGATTTGAATCCAATCGTCAGGTTACTGCCAGAACTCCTTTATAAAGACACAAGTACCAAACTAAAATCAGAACTTAACTTGAATGGTCTGGTGCCTCAAAACCCAGTCTCATATTATCGGTATCAAGGTTCGCTAACGACTCCACCTTGCAATGAAGGAGTCACGTGGTCTGTTGCAAAGCAAATAATCCCCGTTGGAAGAAGTCAAGTAAGATGTGATTCTGTTTTTTTATTATACTGTTAAAGCCAACACATTGAAGATTCGTAACGAAACAAAAATAACACTTTAATAAACATAAATTAATTAAATGAGAATATCTCCATGGTAAATGAGTGAACAAAGTTCTAAAATGAGATAATGTTTAAATGCGGTATGTAAGACAGAGGTACAAAAAAGAATGTCTCGGGAGTCAACAAAAAGAATGAATATAAAAGAAATTTACATAATTTAATGAAAAGAAAGAAATTTTAATTTTCTCTTTTAATAAAATACTGAATAAAAAGAGGAAAAATGAAGTATTTGAAATAAGCTTTTCTTTGATCATAAATCTACATTCTAATAAAACAAATTCTTTCATTAATTATAAATCTGTCTTCCAAAAATGACGAAATTTGAAAAAAGCTATATCTTCCTCCACCCACTTAAAATCGTTTTCCTCCATTCCGAAATTTTTTTTACCTCTCTTGTGAACATTTAACTATCATTTTAACTATCATAAGAAATTCCTGTAGTAAAATTGTAACTCTAAATTTCGAACTAAATGCAGTATTGGATTTAAATACAATACATATCCTCAAAGAACAAGTAACGCAGTTTCCCTGAAAAGCACTAAAGTACAGCTCCCGACTCTGTCGATAGCTCTCAAGCTAATTTCTCAATCAAGACACTATACTGTCCCAGAACAGGCAGGGTATACGTAGCTTTAACCTACCTTCGAGAATATTCCCGAGAAAATAGCTATGAAATGCGTTCTAGAATGTTCTAGTTCTGTCTAAGACATATCGTCAATTATGTCGCCATATATCCCGGAATAAGGCATTTAGCACCAAATCTGGCAACCCCTCCTTCCCTGTCAAATTTATGGCAACCCTATGTCCGCCGTTTAGATATTTCAGCCATTTCACAACGGTATATTTCCCAGTATAAGCCGAAAACACATTTTGTCTTCAAAAAGTTTTCCAAAATTAAAACCCGCATAAAGCCGAAATAATAATAATAAATATAATAAAAACTGAAAGCCTTGAAATTTTATATTGCGCCCAAACGGGTTTTTTTTTTTTTTTTTTTTTTTTTTTTTCATTTACAGGCACATACAAGTTACGAGAGCATTTGGGCTAAAGCAACATTATGCTAAAAATATTTAAAAACAGCATAGCTTTAGAATTTCTGATAGACATTCTCACGCGTTGGAGAGTTTTATTCCCTACAGTGTTGCCACTACTTGCTTAGAAACTGATAAGTTTTTTAAACAAAAATTCGTTAAAGTTTTACAAAATATGAAATAGACAATAAAATTCCAAATTCCAAATTCGAGGTTCCTGGTGCCCATGTCCCAACGGAGATGCTATATCGTGATCTGTTGGCAAAACAGAATTACAAAGGACTTCCTTCAGATTTTCAATGGCAGAGAGTTAAAAATATCATCTAACGAAAATTAAAGAATTAAAATATGACTGTAAAATAAAAAATAACAACAAATTTGCAAAAACAGCCTATTTAAAATCTGCTTTAAATTGCTGATTTTATTTCGTTTTTAAATATGAGTATCAACTATATTTCTTAACTAACATCGCTGAAAAGAATTTCTTTTTTTCTCCCCAACAGATGGCTGTATTTCGTAAGATTTATTCTGTGAAGCAAGAAGACGCAAAACCAGGATGCAAAATGAGTAATAACTATAGACCTATACAGCCATTGAATGATCGTCAAATATACTCGTCTGAGTAATAGTTGCATATTATTTTTCCCAAGGAAATATGAGCAATTGAATAACATACAAATATGTTCTTTTAGAATAACGAGCATAGTATTGATTGTCATTGTTTTAAATTATTAGTTCTACGAATTCAGTCTTTATAAAGTTGGTTAATTTTAAAATCAGAAGAATTTATTCATTACAAGAAGAATTATTTACAGCACTATTTAATTATTTTATTGTATTTGATCCCATCATATTTATTTGTCTCACCAGCAAGGATAAAAAGAATTAAGATTATAAAAATTCTTTTCGCTAATGGCTGAAACTTCACTTAAAATATCGCATACTTACTAAACACTGTTATGTTTGTAAACTATTTCATGCTGATAGCATTTATTTCCTTTGCTTTTTAGCAAATGTTTAGAGAACGGTGCTTCATTTTTAATATATTTATGGAGAGATGTTTAAAAGTTATTTTCAGGAATCCCCGTTTTAATCGATAAGCTACGGACTTGAAAAAGAATAATGCTCTGAATTTTAAATTGAAACATTGTTTTGAATAAATGTACCATATGTAGTTTCAATAAACTGTTTTCTGATATTATTGGTTATTTATAGCTTTGATTTCATACTAACATACACGTTTAAAAATAATAGTTATTATAGAAAAAAATCTGATGTAGTGACCACATGACTTCCTTGTACAGCCTATTAAATTCTAGACATCTTTCTGCTGCATTTCATTTAAACTTATTTCCTCGAATTTCATTAGAGATATATTTCTCATTCAATTTAATTTAGTTCTCCCTTCGCAGTAAGGCAAAAATGTATAAAAACTCAAAACATTTTCATTAAAAATTGAAAACTATAGAAAACATAAAACACCAAACACAGTTAAAAACAGTTACAATTTTTTTTTTTAACTATTAAAATGTTTTATGTAGAACCAAGCAATTCTGACAGCGGGCAAGAAAACGGATGTTTCGGTGCATAAGACTGAAATTTTAATTTTGGTCCTACTCGGCAAAAAGACACTGAAGGTGCACAAACGGACTTAATTCACTATTTTACTAAGAATTCCAATTATAAACGAATGGCAGTCTCGTTTGGTTTAGTATCCCTTAAACAACTTTTAAATTGTTGATAAATTTTACAACTATTGCATACAGATTAACTAAAGGCATAAAAACCCTTAACGGAACATAAGAACAACATTATTCAATCACTTTTAAAGCAAAAAATGCACACTTTACCAACGTATAAGAATAAAGAAAGAGCTCACCAAGCCTGGTAACGGAGGGAGAATATATATTAAATAAGATAGCTCTTCTGGCACTTTCGATACCCTGAATTAAGTAGGATTGAACAGTTGTGCAAATGTTTGAAAGTCAAACTTCATGCTTGAATTCCGTCTTCAGTTTCACTTGTAAGACTATTCCGCACGAAAATAGCTTTTTATTTCCTTAAATGTTTGAAAAACCTTTAAGCATCCATTCCACGCCACATATAATATGCATTTCAATCAAAGAGTAATATAACCTCCTACTAATAGAGATTTTTCCTAATAGTTCAGAAATATTCGTATTATTTTGTAACCCATTTGTATATACAAGCAAATTTTCCTTAGAAAGTACATCCCGAAGGCATTTCTCTGAATTAGGCAAATAATCCTAATGTACACTTTGTCGTTATTCTATCTAATAAATCAATTTTCAGTGTGTTCTTTTTTTAGTATTGTTATGTTGTGCCTGAAGCCAAATATTCTGAAATAAGAACATATTTTGACGTTTGTTTTTTCGAATACAGAACGCATAAATTTGTTTTGGTAACAAATTCAGCGGTTCAAAAGTTGATTAAAATACGACTTCAGTTTTAGTTTTCTGTCTTTATTACTAAAACAAATGTATCATTTTAGCATATCAGACAATTTTGAATTTAAGATATTTTGATGAGTTGAAAATTACTAAGCCACTTTTCCGGAACCTGAAATGTCATTGCATGATTCACTGAAAGCTAAACGAAAGAGCATGTGTAGAAAGTAGATAAAACGTCATAATAGCTGACTTTATAGAAAAATTAAATAATTAACAAATTATGCAGATTTTTTATTATTATGCAGATATTTTATTATTATGCAGATTATGTTTGCTCGAATTACCTTAATTAACTAATCTCTCGAGGCAAGTCGAAAATGGCATCAAAAATCGCAAGTTCGAAATAAAATATCCCTGTTAATTTCTGTTGTATGGGAGACAAAATTCTTATAATTTTATTTGTTCATAACGAATATAAAATTTTTCCAAATATAAATATAGAACCCATGACATTAAATTAAATCAAATCATATTAATCAAATAGAAACTAAAAAGGAACTAGACAGAATTAATATAAACCAAAAGAAACTAAAAAGAACTAATTCATAATTTATAAAAAACAATATATACTTAAAAATATAATTACATATCTAGAAAACTTAAATACTACATAAATACTTAAAAAATACTTAAAGCAGTAAATAGTAAGTTTTAATTCTAACTTACCTACCATAAGCTTTGGGGTCTGCAAAGTATTTCTAAGTGATGTAATGTGTTCTACAATTATTTAGATGGCGCTAATGTAAGTAAAGTTGAGTGCCTAGCTGCTATTAATATAAAAATATTTAAATAATATAAATCTAGAAAAAATCAAGAATATCCTAAAGGTATGTAATTCACGTTTTAATTTAACTGACCAACTATTTATGGTAGGGTGTTTGTAGCTGAGCTAATCAGTGGTTATTGTGAATTAATAAATGTAAACTTTTTTAATGTTGCAAAATTGTGTAAATAATGCAAATAACGTTAAGTGAAAAAATATTTTTTTGTGAAATTGCAAAAAAAAAGTAATATTAAAACGTAATTAAGTAAAACTGAATGTTTTAAAATTTTAAAAATGTTTTAAAGTAAATTCAAAATTAAATTTTAATTTAAAAAAGTCTTAAAATGCTTAAAAAAATTCCCCAAATTTTTCAAATAAATTTAAATTTTGAAATTAATTCCTTAAAAATTTTTTTTTTATTAAATTTAAAGAAAGAAAAAGTATGTTAAAAAAGAAAATTCCCAGAAATTTCCTATAAATCTCTCGGAAATTTCCCAAAAATTCCTTAAAAAATGTTGAATAAAAGCTAAATTTATAGAAAGAAAATTGAAAGTTTTAATAAACTTGATTCCAACTTGTATATCAAAACTTTAAACTTTACTGGCTAAAGTATTGAAAATTAGAAGAGGATTAAAATCTCACTCAATTCGGGCTATAATTGATACTTTTGAAAGAGTTGGCCCTTTTTAGAAAAGGAAAGAATCCAGTATTGATTAAATCATATTTACAAATTTATTTACATAAAAATTTACAATAATTCCTTTACTTTTCTATATCCTCCATTACCCTCCACCTAAGGTTTAAGGTAATGTTATCATACCAAAAAGCCAAAATTATAAAAAAGTTAATGCCCTTTTTAATATATACTTAATAAATTTGGTGGTACTTGGTTCAACTTGAACATTAATTAGCTTTATTATTTCTTCCTTCCTTTAAATCTCTATTTCAGTATATTTTTTTTATTTGATTATTTGTAATGAAACGTTTTTCTATTACTCTTCTAGAGATATTAGTTCTAATTAATTAGTTTAATAGTATGAAAATGGAAATTCCTTCTTTTATCATATATTTATTTTGCTGTGTTTAATAATTACAGGTCTAGGTATTCAATAGTATCTTGATTCGTATTCTTTTATAGTGTTCTATTTGGTAAATTTGAATTTCTCAAATCAGAATTATTAGAAAGTTATAACCATCTTGTATCTAAATGCATGTGCAATAGCTTTAATTCATTCTTATTTAAACTTGTTGGAATTATGCATAAGTAAAAGAAATAGGTTACATTTGTATAGAACTGTTTGCTCCCATAGAATTCCTCTCACTTGCTGAAAGATCTTTTTTGATTTAATGTAGTTATTAAATAATGCACAATTCGATAATATTCATTTTTCAATCAAGGATGTCAAGATGTCAGGAAAATTGTGGAGTTCATTAACTAGTAAAATTTCTCTAATGGTAGAGAAGTATAAAGGTTTCAAAGTCATAGTAGTTAATGTTCCTTGATTTCTAAACTAAAATCGCTGAGAACTGGAGCATTATTATAAATAATAAATATCCAACTATAGTTCTGTTGTTTGTTAACGTTGTTGGATTAAATTACAGATTTTTTAAAGTTTAATTGCAATATGTAATCTTATCTTTTATTATTTGTACCATTAGCAAAATCTAAATTTGAGTGGTGATTTATGAAATTTTGGGATTGAAGCAAAATAATATTAGATAATATGAAAATTTTTTTATGTCTCATTAATTATACTAAACTCAATAATTCCATACTTACAACTCACCAATATACAGAAAATGTTGTTCAAAAACTAAAAGCATTTCATAAGAAACTGCAAATTTCACAACCTATACTACAATAGATTAGCTAATCTACTGCTCTCCCAAAATTGAGAGCCCAAATTGAGTGAAGATTTTAATCCTTCTAATTTTCCATACTTTAGGCAGTAGTTTATAAAGTTTTGATATACTAGTTGAAGCAAGTTTATGAAACTTCAATTTCTTTTATAATTTAGCTTTAATCACCATTTTTTAAGGAATTTTTGGAATTTCTGAGAGATTCTAAATTTCTTGGGATTCTCTTTTTTAACTTACCTTTTCTTTCTTAAATTTAATAAAAAAAATTTTAAGGAATTCATCCAAATTTAAATTTCACTTAAAAAATGTGGGGAATTTTTTAAGACAATTTAAGACTTTTTTAAATTAAAATTTAAATTTTGAATTTTACTTTAAACATTTTTAAAAATTTTAAAACATTTCGTTTTACTTAATTACATTATTATTTTTTTAATTTGCAATTTTTTCACAAAAAAAAATTTTTCACGTTAACTTTTTTTTTTTGCATTATTACACAATTTTGCAACATTACACAAGTTTTACTTTTTAATTCACAATAACCACTTGATTAGCTCAGCTCCAACTCTCGCCATAATAGTTGGTCAGTTAAAATTAAACTTGAATACATACCTTTAGGATATCTTTGATTTTTTCTAGATTTATATTATTTAATATTTTTAATCTTAATAGCACTAGGCACTCACTTTATTTACTTAGCGCCATCTATATAATTTGCAGAACACACTTACATCACTTAGAAATACTTTTGCAGACCCCAACGCTTATGGTAGGTAAGTTGAATTAACTTACTATTTTCTTGCTTTTAGTACTTTTTAAGTATTTTTATGTAGTATTGAAGTCTTTTCTAGATTTAATATATTTTAAGTATATATTTGTTTTTAAAAATTATGAATTAGTTCTTTTTATTTCTTTTGGTTTTATTAATTTTGTCTATTCCTTTTCATTTTCTTTTTGATTATATGCAGTTCGTTCGGGGAGGTTTCTGTAAACAGGGTTTCTAAAATGCATTGGTTTCTAATTAATTTTTCTGGAAAATTTAATTTTTTAAAAATTTCATTAATACTAACTTTACATTGCCTATTCTAAAAATATTCATATTGGTATTTT